CCGGAACTGGGACTCACTTTCTGGCGGTGCAAGGAGAGATGCTCCGTTCCCCGTGCCTGCAGCTTCTCCATGGGAGACAATGGTCACCTTGATTTTAGCTCGCTTGGAGGATTTGCTGCAGTGTGTCGGGCTTGGGGGCTGATGTCGCTTCAGCTGCATTCTCATGTCTTCTCTCTCAGGCCCTTCTGGCTGCTCAGAGGAGACTGGAACTAGAGGACACAGAAGGGTAGATGTGAAACCGATCCATGGTGCCTCGAGGTTAGCACCACTCCCATGTACACACAGAAAGACACATGCCCAGGCATATTCTCTACAGCACCTTCCTGCTGCCCCCTCTGCACCATGGTGATCCCAGCTCCTGACCTCTGGCTGAGCTACTCAAGTGCTCAAGTCAGGCTTTAAAGACGTCAGGTGACAGGGAATCCCACATTTACACCGGTTGAAATGTGCAAGTGCCCCACGCTGCCCCCAACCCCTCAGCACTGATTCCATGGCAGCCATGCCTGGCCTTTAGCCCTGCTCTGTAAGCTGCTGCAGTGCTGGAGCCAAGGGAGAATATTAACTGAGCTGTGCTCCGTTTTCTTCGCACTAGTGCGTCATGGGGAGCTGTGTCAGGGCTAGAGCAACCTGGGTTCGCCTCTTCATTTTGCCTTTTGACAGAGAGAAACTGCAGTGTGAGGATGGTGCGACTGGGCAAGGAGGGGCCAGTGCCGGGGTCCTTGGGAGACAGAGGCTTTTGGGGCCTGCCTGGCTGAGGTTTGCATTTTATTTAGACTCTGGGGGTGTGTCTAGACTACAGGCTTTTGTCGACAGAAGTTTTGTCAACAGATACTGTCGACAAAGAGCGTCTAGACTACATCCAGTTCTGTCGACAAAGCAAGCCGCTTTGGCGACATGACAGTGTAGACGCAAAGGACAGTGTAGGTGCAATAACGCCTTCTGTAGACAGAATTCTGTGGATAAAAGGCGTTACTCCTCATAGAATGAGGTTTACAGCTGTCGACAAAACTGCCGAGTTCTGTCAACGTTATGTCAACAGAACTCAGCGGCAGTGTAGACCCTGTAGTCTAGACACACCCTTAGAAACCAGTCTCCTCCGGGCTCCTGTCATATATAAGGGTGTGACAGTCCAAGTTCCCATATGCATCTGTGGTATTTCTAGAGGTCAGACAGGGGCAGCAAGAACCCTCCATCCACCTGGGAACCATCCCAAGGACTTAAGAGTTGAAATCCCACCTGAGATTTCTCTCCCTTTGAAAACCGAGGCACACGAAGGACGTTTTCACGTTTGTACAAGCGTGTGTGGAAGAGTCAGGTGTGAGCTCTGAAAACACCACAGGACACAGGAACATGGAGCAAGATCTCTCTCTGCATTACAGGCTCCTGAAAAGATCCCTCATAACAAATTGGCATTTGATTAAAGATCTGCCAAAGGGCTGTTTGAAAATAGCCCATGTTAGTTACCTAGAATGAAAAGGGACATGTTCACCGCACTGTTAGTCTGTCACGGTCTGTGGGGCTGAGAAAGGGATTAGCAGCTTGCCAAAGCTTCGGTATTCAACTGATGTTTCCTCTGACCCAAGCCCCAGTGTAGACACCACTGGGTCGACAAGTGGTTCGGCAGAGTCTACTGACAACTATTACTGTACTTGGTTTGACAAGAAACCTGGCAGGGCGCCTTCGATCCTTATCTGATCGTGTGGTTTTTGGGAGCTCTCTCGGAGTCTGCTGCGTTGACTGCTTGCACAAAGTCAACACAATACACAGAGAAGCCGATATGCACGAGGCAGAATAGTTATCATCACTGGACAGAGCAAGGGAGACCGGTCATCAGGACACCACAATGGTGACTCCTGACTGCTACAGACACAAGCCGCCAGCCTGCAGCTGGCAAACCATTTGCTGAGGTGACAGTAATTGTCAGTATGTGGTGGGACATTCCTTCCTCTCCCAAATATGCTGATCCTGAGCATGGCCCACCAGACACAACCGGGAAAGAACTCTCTGTGGGAAAGAGCCCTCCCCTCACGTGCCCCATCCCTGGCTGCTGGACAGTCCTCGCTCTCCTGACCACCCACTTCTGACCCAATTTCCTTGTGCCTACAATGGCTGTATCCAGAATGAGCTCGCCATGCTCTAGGGCAGGGCAGTCAAGGGCCCTGTCTTTTTCTGCACCGAGAACCATGCAGAGCCCTGCAGCAATAACACCCTTGCTGACAGGTTTTCATTCCCAAAACACAGTGCGAACGCCAGGCTCCCAGCACGAATCCCCATTTCACCGGGGGGAAACCTGGCCCAGAGAGAGGCAGAGTGACTGTCCAAAGGCACACAAAGCTTCCTTCTTACAGCTGGGTCTAGAGCTCAGCTGCTGAGCACCAGGCCCTGCTCCAGCCATCACTGCAGTGTGCAGTGTGACTGCGAGGCATCAGCACTGCACGGCCATTGTTCCTTGGTGCTCATGCAACACCCTGCAAGGCAGGCCACCCTGGGAGCCCCAGGGCAAATGAGGAACTGGGCTCACAGAGACAAAAGCCCAGCCCCCCCTTCAAGGTACGGACACGTGGTCATGTGGCATGCCCAAAGCACACAGGGGTCTGCGGCAGAGACTCCCTGCTTCTGTCCAATCTCCTCCCCCGTCAGGCATCACACAGGCAAGCCAAGGCTGCCACTGTTCTGCTGCACTGTTCCTCTTAGGGATGTTAAATTTAGATTAATTGGCTAATCGAATTCAATTAGCCAATAAGGGCGCCTCTGCCTTTGAAGTGTAGCAATGACCACAGGGCTGTTGCTACATTTGAAAGGCGAAAGTGCTGCGGGGAGCACGGGGCCAGCAGGGGACTCAAGCAGTTGCTTGCTGGCCCTGTGCTGCATGCGGCGTTTCAAAGCGGCGGAGCCCGGGCCCCACGCGGCGTTTCAAAGCGGCGGAGCCCGGGCCCCACGCGGCGTTTCAAAGCGGCGGAGCCCGGGCCCCACGCGGCGTTTCAAAGCGGCGGAGCCCGGGCCCCACGCGGCGTTTCAAAGCGGCGGAGCCCGGGCCCCACGCGGCGTTTCAAAGCGGCGGAGCCCGGGCCCCACGCGGCGTTTCAAAGCGGCGGAGCCCGGGCCCCACGCGGCGTTTCAAAGCGGCGGAGCCCGGGCCCCACGCGGCGTTTCAAAGCGGCGGAGCCCGGGCCCCACGCGGCGTTTCAAAGCGGCGTTTCTCAGAGAGGCAGCAAGGGGGGAAGACGCGACCAGTCATCCACATCCCTAGTTCCTATGCACCTACCCTCCACCCATCCCTCCCCACCGCTGCTGAGCCCTGAGACCCAGTCTGAAAGCTCTCTGGAGCACACATGGTGTGCACAGCTCCTAGCAAAATGGGACCCTCATCATCCCTGCCCCCCGGGCACTAGGGGAAGAGAAGTGATAATGAACCACCAGACCACCCTTCCTCAGGACCACATCTTGCCCATTTGCATTCCACTGCTGATCTGTACCCATGTGATCTTCACTGGAACCCAGAATTCATGGCTTGTACCATGGTGTCCAGGGAGAAGAAAACGTGGGGAGGGAATGTTAACACACCACTCAGCCCCGGCGCATTCTGCATCACAGGTGAGGAAATGAAGGCCTGCCTTTCATGTGAAAGGTGTAACTCTGCAGTGCTCAGAGAGCTCCCACCAACAATGGTATCAGGCCACTCTGCCCGAGGGGCAAGTAGGAGTAAGGTACATGACACAACCCTTTGCCAGCATGTTGGAGGCCAAGGTAAGAACTCAAACCGTCCATGACAAACAGGAGAAATCGTCTGAGAGCAGCAAGATGGAACTCAAAGACAGCAGCGAACTGCGGCACACAGGAAGGGAAAACCAAACACACGATTAGTAATCAGGGAAGAAGTGGGTGGACCATAGGACCAGTCATTGTGGCCGAATACAAGCCAACAATGTGATGCAATGGTGGAAAAGGCTCATCTCTTTCTGGGGGCATTAACAGGAGCGTGGTCCGTAATATGGGAGGTTGTCATCCTGCTCCACTCAGCACGGAGAAGGCCTCAGCTGAAGTCCTGGGATCAGTGCTGGGCAGGGGCCAGAGGAGAGCAACAGACATGGTGAAATGCACAGGAACCTGTCCACACCCATTGTCAGTCTCGAGAAAGGAAGACAGAGGAGGGACCTGAGAACAGTCTCTCTAGTCAGGGCTGTTAGGAAGACGACACTGATCAGTTGTGCTCCATGTTCACGAGAGGCAGAACAAGTAACAACAGGCTTAGTCTGCAACATGCCAGATTTCGGGTCGATATTAGGAGACGCTCTCTAACTAAACCCTTGAACAGGCTTCCAAGTGCAGCTGTAGAATCTCCTTGTGGTTGGTGTTTAAGAAAGGTGGGCAACACCTGTCAGCGATGGTCTGTTTTGTGGCCTTGCCTCAGTGCAGGGGCTGGACTAGATCACCTGCCAAGGTCCCTGTTTCTAAATTCTAACTCCTTGCCCTCCAGCTGGAGAGAGCATCGGGGAACCAAGAGCATACAAAGCCTCCAAAGAGTCACTGCAGGAGTTAATTCCGTCTCATGGGGGGGGGGAGTGAGTATAGAAGAAACACTGAGGCCTTGGAATCCGAGTTCCTTACGAAACACCCTCCTGCAGAGCAGTGACACCACTCTGCGTGGGCCCCAGACCCACTGTGGGGAGAGTGCAGTAGAAACACGGTTTGTTGGCCTGGCTCTAGCCCAGTGCAAGCCCCAGTGCATGGGGTCTGTGCACACAGGCCCTCTTCTGCTGGGCAGCAAGGTGGGGGCTAGCTGCTGACATGTGCAGTGCTCAACACCATGCCCAGAACTGTGGACATGCAGAGGGAATGGACATACCGAGAGTTTCTGTTCCCCTATGCAAAGGGACTACAAGCATCCGTTCTGCTGTCCAAGCCCTCGAGCCCACGGGAGCATCAACCACATCGCACAGGGCGGCAGCAGGCATGGCACATGCAGAGGGAAGGGGCGGCAGGTGCTCCTCACTGTAGGGACCAGTGACCAACGCCCCCTTCGTTACCCAGTTACTCCCCTATGGCACACACAGCACACGCCGACTCCTGTGCTCCGGCTCAATTCCCAGGCTCTGGTTAGACATACCTACCGCTTACATCGCTCGCTTCTCCATGGCTTCCCACCACGCCGCTCTCCTGCAAGGAGCCTGAACCCCACTGATGCAGAAGTAGCAGGGCTGGAAGACCCACACGAGCTACCGGCAGAGCTCCCAAGGGGCAATGTCCCCCAGAGTGCTGGATGGCAGAGCCTGAGGTGCCTGCCCCTTTGATGGCACAGCACACTGCATGCCTGACCCTACTGATGCTCCAGAAACGGGGTGGGGCAGCTGCCAGTAAGTCCCAGGGGAAAATCTCTTCCCGGACGACAGCATGCGAGCAACCCCCCGGCTCAGCACTGAAGCTGGTTTGTGCCTGTGAGCGGCGGCTGGTGTTCAGCCCGTGCATGGAAGTGCAGAGCTTCTCTCATCGCCACCACAGTTCTCTGAGGCAAAGCTTGCGGGAGACAGAACTCGGTAAGTAGCCGGCCCAGGTGCCTGTTTGTCTGCACAGCCTTCCCCAGGGCTTTGTTACTTGACTGCTGCATAGAACCCAAGCCCAGGGAAGTGTCTGTGTGCAATAGGCAGAGGGGGTCGGGACTGCAGAGAACCCAGTTACAGTCCCACTGCTCTCCAGCTACTCCTGAGCTTCCTTCGTCCAGGCAAGACGCCACCAGCACTATGCCATGATGCACCTAACCTCAGGGTCCACGGCAGGTGCCACTAGAGGCAATGAACTTGAGCCACCCAGCTCAGCGATGAACCTGGCCCCTCCATCTCTAGGTGTCAGAGGCTCTAACTTACAGTGGCCAGAATCTCCTCCTCCAGCCCCATCCTCCCACCATCAACAATGACTTCCTATGCATGTCAGGATCCAATTCAACACTGCTTCCCTGCTTTCCCACGAAGTCTCTCACCCTGCCTACCCATGCCTCCGCTATTCCTCCTCCAACTCTCCGGGCTCGGAAAGATGCTCCAGCCGGCCTCGAGCCATTCAGCAGCCCTATCTCTGCACCCTGGGCAACAGGCTGTCTGAAGAATCTTCCCATTCCTTTTCCAAATCAACAGCACAACTGGCCATGCTGGGTCTCCATCCCAGCCAATCACACCCAGCACCCAAGGGTTACGCTCCTGACCACAGCAGGCTCCTTCATCGCCCATACCAATCCACAGTTCATTACAGCCAAACACCTTGGTTCAGGGAGCACAGGGAAAGCCAGAGGAGGGAGACCAGGTGGGTCAATATTCTGCAGCTTGCAAATGGCTTTTTTATCAGCTCCTACCGCAGCAAGGAGAAAGCAAACAGTGGGGAGCAGGGGCGCACGCTGCAACGCCCCCAAACCAGGGCGAGGAGGAGAGGAAAGTGATGGAGGACAGCCGGAGGAGGAAGGAAGCAGAGAGAGAGGAAGTGAGGACATACTCACCAAAGAGACATGAAGCGGTGCCAGGAGGAAGAACTTTCCTCGCCAGCATGTTTTGTTTCAGAAAAGCAGCAAACTGAGCTGAAATGAATCAGAGAGAATTACAGTATCACAGCCGGCTTTCACGGGGGCAGGCAGCTGGCACCCACTCCCCTGGAGCACAAGTGGGCCAGTGGTGAGACCTGTGCACCCCACTCACTCCCCTGGACCCACAGCCAGCCAGCAGGGAGCCCTGCAGCCACTGCTTACTCCCATGCGGGATGCTAGTAGAGTTTTGAGGTGAACATGCAGGACAGTTACACCCTGTGGTATGTTTGCCCCTAAGCTTGCACAAAGTGGGCCAGCCAGATGCCTACTGAAAGCTGAGGGTTTGCTGATTCTCTTTATAATACTCACAGGCCTGTATCATTTTTGTACTTACAGTTATAAGTACTGACTGGTACTTGTATTTCAAATATTTGCTTCTGAGAGATATCAACAGGCCTCGCCCGCCTATCGCGGAAGGCTGGCTGCAAGTGAATGGAAGTACTGGACTGACAATGCACCGTGGACGGTGTCAATCCACATCTGAGGAATTTCCCTGCGACCCTTCAGGCCAGCATGTTAGCCATGGCCGCTAAGGACTGAGCCAGGCATGGACAGGTGACTTGCTCATGTGACAAACTTCATTTTGGGAGGTGCTTTCACACAAGGAGAACTATGGGATTCCCTCCACACAGGCAGGGTGGAAAGGGCCCTAAAGGTTCCTCCATTTATCTTCACTCCAGCTCATCACTTCAGGAGCAGCTTGCTTATGAACTGGGCCTGGAAGGACTGCTGAGCCATCCTAACCCAGGATATACTCCAGAGACTTAACAGGGTGGCATATTCCATCTCTGCTGCAAGCCTGCACCAGGAACTTTGTAATTGGAGCATGTAATTTTGTTACTCTCAACCTTTTCTTTCTTTCTTTAACAAACCTTTAGCTGTTAGATTCTAAAGGAGTGGCCCAGCGTGCCCTTTTGGGTAAGATCTGAGGTATAAATTGAACTGGGATTTGGGATTGGTAGAACCTGTTCTGACTGGGTGAGATCAGTTTTCATAACCTCTCATTTGGGTAAGGAGCGGTGCTGCTTGTGGCACCGGAGAAGCTGGAGGTTTAAGGGGGTTGCTTGTGTGACTTCTTGCTGGCCAGTATGGTGAACAGACATGCTCTTTATGACTGCTTTGGTGCCTTGCACTGAAGGACCCCGGTCCTGGGCTGTACATAGCCCTATTTCTAGGCAATCCACCCTGATTTGACCCTCTCAGCTGTGCCCCCCAGAACCATTATATTACAGTGGCGTAGTCGTGCTTGGATATACTTTGGATCAGAAACCACGCTATTCAATATGTGAATTTGGGAATTGAGAATTTGATTGGTTAAAGAGCAGTTGCAATGAATCAGCAACGATATGACGGTCTTAGTAAAAAACACCTGGAAGATTTGTGCTCAGAAAAGTTCTCTCCTTTAGGAAGAGATCTTCGTTAGTGGCCAGAGATGCTGCAGAGAAAATTAAAGAAAGTGGCCCTTGAACATGAACAAAATCTTGCAGAGATGCATTTAAAGGAAAAGCAAAAAAATGCTGAATTGAAGAAAGAGTCCCACACAAGGCACATGGAACTACCGGCTGCTGAAGAGAAAGCCAAGCAAGCTGTAGAGAGGACTCACCAACTTCAGCTATGAGCGTTTGAGCAGCAGCAGAAGCCGAAGCGCCCTGGAAGTCCACCCCCGGCCCCCGTACAACAGAAGCTGGGAAAAGATGTGTCCTGCATTCTGAGAATATAGAGGGACTGTTGTCTCCCTGTTAACGCCTATGCCATGTGAGCTGAATCCCAGCTGAGCAGCAAATCCAGACGGACTGGAAAAGCCAGGGAGGTCTTTAATGAACTGGTGGAACATGAAGCTTTAGACCAGGGTGGGGAACACTTCTTTTGGGTCGGGGCCAATGACCCACTGAAAAATCAGTTGGGGGCTGCACACATGTGAGAAGCAAAACAAACCCCCCCCCAAACCACCTCCTCAGTGACATGGCCCCCAGCTGAGAAGACGACAGACACTCCCCACATCCCTCTCACACACCAGAGTCTAGGGGTTCCTGCTTACTAGATTTTGGGTGCTGTAGCCCCACTGTGAGGCGGGGAGAGGGCTGGAGTGGCAGCACAGGCTCCCCAGTGATGGAGGGAGGCCCTGAGCCTCGGGGGCCAGATCCAGGCAAGCCGGGGGCCTGAGGTTCCCCACCCCTGCTTTAGACTATATGTGGTTTAAAGACTCTGCGTGGAGGCGGATCGAGGTCATCCCTAAATCTTACAAGGTAAGAGGTAGGAGGTTTAGAATGTCTTGTGAATATACCTATGTGGAGAGTGCTCATAAGCTGATGGGTTTTGTTAAAAAGCCGACTGTGGGGGGGAAAGCACACAGGCGTTTTGAGAAACTGCTGGATTTAATAACTTTGGAGCAACTTTTAGACACTGTTTCTGACCATGTTACAGCACCTGCATGTGATAAAAGAGCTCGAGCCAGTCCTATGGGCAGCAGTTTGCAGATGCTCATACCCAAAACAGGGTTCGAGAAGGGTGCAAACCCCGGAGTATGAGTGATCTCTATTCTCCCCAATCTAGAAGAGAGGGTTTAAAAGGTGAGGCCAGCCCCATAGCCATTAGAAGAACTCCTACTCGAAGGGAAGACAGGTGGCGTGTCATTTGTGGGGGACACGTCAAACCAGTGTGTCCAAATTTACAAGTAAGTCACCAAACCCCATCCATGCTAATCCTGTTCTTCTAAACACCCCAGGCAAGCCCCACAGAATCCAGTGCTGGGGCCCTGTGTGCAAATGCTGTTTCTGAGGTCCCTGAAGGGCTTGGCCTTAAAACTCACATCTTAGAGCTAAATATGGGAACAAGAATGCTGAGTTCATTAGTGCCGCTGAGGTTAATGGAGTGGAGTGTGAAGCATGGAGAGATGCTGCTGCAGAGATTACTCTGGTTAAAGCCTTGTCAAGAAGGAAGATTATGGGCCAGAAGACAGCCTGGTTGTTGTAGCCTTGTCTGTGTATTTTGTAATGGAGCCTTTGGCTAAAATCCGTGTGAAATGGAAGGAGGAGTGAAAAACACAATTCCTAAGGCTCGTAGGGTTGGGGATGATGCTAAAGCTTAGTTCAGTCAAGTCAGTGTCCTGAATGAAACACAGGAAGGAAATGACCCTGAGCCTTTGTTTATTAGGGGCAATGACTTGCCTAGGGAAGGTTTCTCAAAATGTTTCTCCAAGGAGAATAGCAGTTTCTCCACTGGGAAGGGCAATCCTCATTTGTCTGCGAAAGCAGCTGTCTCAGTTCCCAGATTTCTCTCTGAAATCAGCCATGGGTGCGGAGATGGTCTCCCATTGTTTGTGCTAAGCAGCAGCAGCAGGAAGGAAGGGTTTCTTCCCAATCCTGTCTGCCGAAGTTCCCTCTCAGCCTGTGGCGGCTGAGGACAATGCAGCTGTGTCACAGTTGGCTCTGGATACACATGAAGCCCAGAAAGGGAAGGGTCCTAAGTTTGTGTCTGCTGGGGAGAATGATGCTGATCTCGGGCTTGTTTTTTGCCTGTTGCTAGTGTGTTGCTGGGAAAGGGTGAAACAACTGTGTGATCAGGGTGACACCTTAGCCCGGGTACAAACAGAGCATAATAGCGATTGAACTGTGGTACCTACAGATAGTATGGAAACTTGAAGGAGAAAATTGTTCCGACCCTTGTGTGAGTTAAGCTGGTAACCTTCATGCTACCCGTGTGGAAATCCATAAAGGGAAGAAGAATGTCTCTAACTTTTTACCTGGTGAGTCTCTCTCTTCTCCTGGAAGGGGACTGTGTAAAAATCCACCTGATGGGCCGGAAGCGATTCTGGGTATAAGGGAAACTCAGAAGGAGTTGGTTGTGGCTCAGCAGAGCTATGCTCCTGTACAGCCGCGTGAAGAAGCTCCTAAGGAAGAGAACCCTTGGAAGTGGTCTGATGGAGGGAGATCCATCTGTAGGAGGCAGCAGTTTCTTTGGTGAGGCACTTGCTTCAGTTCCAGACAGAATTTTTCTGTTAAAAATGACTCCATTGACTTTGGTTCAGTGTGAACAGTTTAGAGGAGTATCAGAGGGGTAGCCATGTTAGTTGAATCTGCAAAAGCGGCGAGGAGTCCTGTGCTCCAACACTTCTGCTAGTCTATAAGGTGCCACAGGACTCCTAGTTTAGAGGAGGTTTCAGATGGATTGAAAGTTAACATAAGAACATAACATAAGAACGGCCGTACTGGGTCAGACCAAAGGTCCATCTAGCCCAGTAGCCTGTCTGCTGACAGTGGCCAACACCAGGTGCCCCAGAGGGGGTGGACTGAAGACAATGATCAGGCGATTTGTCTCCTGCCATCCTTCTCCAGCCTCTGACAAACAGAGGCCAGGGACACCATTTCTATCCCCAGGCTAATAGCCTTTTATGGACCTAACCTCCATGAAATTATCTAGCTTCTCTTTAAACTCTGTTATAGTCCTAGCCTTCACAGCCTCCTCCGGCAAGGAGTTCCACAGGTTGACTATGCGCTGTGTGAAGAAGAACGTTCTTTTATTAGTTTTAAACCTGCTACCCATTAATTTCATTTGGTGTCCTCTAGTTCTTCTATTATGGGAATTAATAACTTTTCTTTATTCACCCTCTCCACACCACTCATGATTTTATAGACCTCTATCATATCCCCCCTCAGTCTCCTCTTTTCTAAACTGAAAAGTCCCAGTCACTTTAACCTCTCCTCATATGGGACCCGTTCCAAACCCCTAATCATTTTAGTTGCCCTTTTCTGAACCCTTTCTAAGGCCAAAATATCTTTTTTGAGGTGAGGAGCCCACATCTGTACACAGTATTCAAGATGTGGGCGTACCATAGTTTTATACAGGGGCAGTAAGATATTCTGGGTCTTATTTTCTATCTCTTTTCTTAATAATTCCTAACGTCCTATTTGCCTTTTTGCCCGCCGCTGCACACTGTGTGGAAGTTTTCAGAGAACTATCCACGATAACGCCAAAATCTCTTTCCTGATTTGTCGTAGCCAAATTAGCCCCCATCATACTGTACGTATAGTTGGGGTTGTTTTTTCCAATGTGCATTACTTTACACTTATCCACATTAAATTTCATTTGCCATTTTGTTGCCCAATCACTCAGTTTGGTGAGATCTTTTTGAAGTTCTTCACAGTCTGCTTCTGTCTTGATTATCTTAAACATTTTAAGATTAAGTGGAAACTGTCAGAAAACTGGGACAGCCTTGTGATAACCAAGTGACTGTCTGACCAGCTTACTGGGGAGTCAGTCTTGTTGGGACAGCTTGATTCTGTGAGCGGACAGTGTGTGTCTCAGGTTCAGAGGAAAGGCGGGAATGCAGAGCAGAACAGCTGCGTGGTTAGTCTCTCTTGAATACACGGGATGGCAGGTAATCTCTTAGTGGACTTCACATCGGATTCCATATGGAAACATGGGTTGGTGACGGAAGGACACAAGAACTATGAGTCTAACATGCCAGTAAAAATGGATCGTATGTCTTTAAGACATCAGAAAGAGAGCTCATGAGGGAAGGAGTAAGGATAAATCTTGATTTTGCAAAGGGAAGCCACAGATTGGCTCTGAACTACCAGAACTCTAATGGTATTCAGTCAAGGATGCGGCATGACAAAGAACTGCAAACGTATACTTTCAATGGACGTGTTTTTATTACTAATGTTAACTTTTGTAACTGATGTGTTGCTAATACCAAAAGCTGTAAAGATCTAGATTGAGCAGAATTTTTTCAGAAAATTCCGGAACACATTAGCAATGGTGCATAGAAACGCTGTATGTTAAAAGACCTGGTAATACAAGAATTTCACAGTTGGTGCCTGAACCAATCTTGGAACCTCTCACATGAAAAAGGACATCAGAGAAATTATGTGCTCTACGGAAGGAGAAACCGAGGCACACCGCCATATTGCTTTCATGGCTACATGCCAAGATTCCTACACTATGGAGGATATGAATTACTGACTTGATGTTCACGGAATTCCAAACATCTGCCAGAACTTACATGGGTAAATTAACTATTTTCTTTACCTCTTGGTACGACCACATAGGACATAAGGAAATCATGCCGCAAAAGCAGATCCAACCCACTATTGTTCTGACCCAGTTTTACCTTGCATTAGCAAAGAGTTCAATGATATTGTTAGTACCAAGATGACTCTTACTATGAGGAAGCCTCTTTTAGACAAACATGGCTTTCGTAAGCTGTTCCAGTTAGACACTGATTCTTCTAATATTGAATTAGAATCTGTAACAACACAGTCAGACATGGGAAGGGCTTTGATGCACTCAGTGATGTTAATGTCGCCCTTTTCTGCATCAATTCTGCATGGGGGCGGGACACTGGATTTTTGAGGTGAACATGCAGGACAAACAGTTACACCCTGTGGTATGTTTGTCCCAAATCTTGCACAAAGTGGGCCAGCCAGGTGTCTATTGAAAGCTGAGGGTTTGCGGATTCTCTTTGGGTAAGATCTGAGGTATAAATTGAACTGGGAACGTGGCTGTTCCTTTGGAATGTGGAGGACCTGTTCAGACTGGTGAGACTGGTTTCCTAACCTCTCATTTGTGTAAGGAGCAGAGCTGCTTGTGGCACAGGAGAAGCTGGAGTGTCTAAGGGGGTTGCTTGTGTGACTTCTTGCTGGCCAGTGTGGCAAACAGACGTGCTCTTTGTGACTTATTTTTGTGCCTTATAGTAGAGGGCCCCCTGCCTTGGGCTGTACGTAGGCCTGTCTCTAAGCAATTCGCCCTGATTTGACCATCTCAGCGGTGACCCCAGAACCCGTTATATTACAGCCTGGACCCACAACCAGCCAACGTGGAGCCCTGCAGCCACCACTCACTCTCCTGGACCCACAGCTGGCCAGAGGGGAATGCCATACACCCAACTCACTCCCTTAAGCCCGGTGTTCGGGCCCTACAGATCCCACAAACTCCTCTGGGCCCACAGCTAGTCAGCACGGAGCTCTACAGGCCCCACACACTCTACTGGACTCATAGTTGGCTAGCGAGGGCCCCTGTTGACCCAACTCACTCCTGCGGCCTACAGCCTGCCAGTGGGGAGTTCTGCAGATCCCACTTACTCTGACAAAGGGAAGTGCAGCTTTGTTATGCAGGCTTGGAGCATTTAGAGACACTATGGACTGAACCCCCCAAGTGCAGTGCATCACACGTGTCTGGAAAGGGGCAGCCGGGCTGGAGACATCCCCCTCCCTCCGTCTTAGAGAGCAACCAAACTACACACCATCTCTCCCAAAGCCCCCTCGCCCATCCAGGGACCATGCAAAGGCTTGTGATGACTGGCTCTTCCCCATGTCTAGCACTGGAGCTGTAAACAAAGATTCCCTTCAGCTAGTCCCGCTGGGCCGCTCTGGGCTGGAACGCTGGCAATGCCTGGGAACCGTACCTGGCGCACTCAAACATTCATTGCCACAAAGCCTCCCTCTGCACCAGCTCCGCCCTGCAGACGTATCTGCTGTGATCCCAGCCACTGAGCTTTCTCCCCTCAGTTCCCTCTGCACACTCGCCAGCGCCGATAGCTTGCATTGCTCTCCTATGTGGGAGACCTGGGCTCAAGTCCCAGTCTGCCGCCCACTGGGAACGAGAGAAAAATTCCTACAGCTAGCAGGAGCGCCAGGCCATCAGCAGGCCTACCCAGATCTGCCCTGAGCAAAGGAAGATTGGAGACCGGAGAACTTCAAAAGTCTGTTTCTCTCACCAACAGAAATCGATCCATAAAAGATATTGCCTCACTCCTCTGATCTCTCTAATATCCTGGGATCGACATGGCTACCACAGGCCCCCCTATATCAGACAGACCACTGCCAGTCAGACCTTTCCAGCCTCTTCCCCTGTCTGACTGAAAGTGTATCCCAAGATCTTATCAACATCCCACAGGACAAAAGTCATGGCTCAGGGTAGCCTTTCCTTCTTGATGAGAGCTGGCCAATACGTGGCCCACAGGCCGGACACAGTTCAGAAAGGCTAGTTCCCACCTGTGCCTCAACAAGTACAGGTGATTGTAGCTACCGTTGGCTGCGGATTGCTGTTCCCAGCCAATAGGAGCTGCGGGAAGTGGTGCTCCAGCCCAATGCAGGAAGCAGTGGCCAGGAACAGTGAATCACAGCCAACTGTAGTTGCAAGCAGCCACACCTGCAGACGTGCAGGTAAATAAAGCATCTGGCAGTCCGCCAGTGGCTAATCTTGGCGAACTGCATCTGGTCCCTGGACTGCTTAATGCCCAACCCTGGTCCAGACATTTTTTGTCAAGGTCCAAATTTCTTGGTCAAGGTATAGTTGCAGTCCAAACTCCAGAGAAAACAACAAAGAGGATAAGTTGTAGTAAACACCAAGATGTCAGGGTCCATTCAAAAGCATTTGGCAGTCTAGATTTTCCCGCAGTATGCCTGCTGACTACCGCGGCACTAGCCCCTCATCTCGGCTCCGTGGTCTTACCCACCTGGCCATACTTTACTCCCTAGCGAATCTGCTGACACAAATTGGCAGCCCGTCAAATGCCCTCCAACGATGTGCCCACATCCACCGGGCTGACATTCTACAACTGCAGAAGGCAAAGACCCATCTCAGTATGGGCAACTGCACAGCCAAGGCCTGTATGTGACTCACCTTCCTGTCCCAGAGAGATCCCTGTTCCCAGCCTAGAGTCAGTTCCCATCTGCCTCTGCTGAAGAGTAACACTGGTGTGATCCAGCGTGCACTCGGGTGGCTGCCCAGGAAAGATTCCGGTGCCACCCACCTGATTAGCACAGAGCCCACAGCTAGGTCTGGGTTTCTACTGTCGAACAGCCGCATGTACCTCAGTGCACAGAACAAAATTTATTCTGCACATGGAGGGAAAAAATTAGAGGGAATTTTGGTATGAGCTATGGGGAGACCACCCAATTCTGCCGGTTACGTGGCCAAAGGAAGCTTGCGGACTCAGACTAGTCCTGCAGGGCAAAGGGGGAGCAGAGCTGGCCAGTGGCATGGCCAGGGGGTTGTCCCAGGGTAACAAGGAGGATGAGAGCGAAGAGAGCTGCAGGGGCATTACCTTGTGCCTGCTTGTGTGCCAGGACCCCGTCTGTTCTCTGCACGTGTCTCTTCAGCAGCTGGGGGGCACCCGCCTGGCTGCACTTCTGAACACATGGCACAGCAGCCACTTTGGTTTTGGGACTTGAAGTGGGGCTACTGGAGACACTGGACAGGTCCTGGCCAAAGAGAAGGGAAGCCCCACGCCGTTAGGTTTCCATGGCAGGATGCAGCAATGACTTTACATCTCCACAGATCAGTAGTTTCCACTTGACCCTCGCAATCCCTGATGACCGAGTGTGTGCGTTACAGATGGGAAACGTGGGCATGGAGGGCAGGTTACCTGCCCAAAGGCACAGAAGAGTCAGTACTGGAGCAAGGATTAGCACTGAGCAACTGCAGTCTTCTTGCCCTGCCCTCAGACTCCCCTTCCCTGCACTCTGACCCCAGCCAGGGACACCCCCCAAAGCTAGAAGTCTAAACAATAAGACGGGTGAACTAGAATGCCTCGTATTAAATGAGGATATGGATATAAAAGGCATCAGAAAAACTTGGTGGAATGAGGACACTCAACAGGACACAGTCATACAGGGCACAAAATATCTCAGAAAGACCAAACAGGTCGTGCCAGGGCAGAATGGCACTGCAGAGTCAAATGAAGTAAAAATCTTAATGAACCAAACTGTTCCATAGAGTCTCTATGGACAGGAATTCCATGCTCTACCAATAAGAACAGCAGCGGGGATATATTACCGACCATCTCACGAGGATGGCGATAGGACTGAGAAATGCTCAGTTGCAGGGATTTCGCTTTTCACACTGTGACTTTTAATTTCTGTTTAACTAACTTCCTTTTGAGGAGAGATTAGCAAGATAGAGGCTTTTCACCTTGTTCTGAGCCCCAAAGAGGAGAGGAAATTCTTGATTCAGTCCTAAGCAGGAGCACAGGATCTGGTCCAAGAGGTGATTATAGCTGAACCTCTTAGTAACAGTGACCATCTACTATATTTGAGAGAGTGTCTCTGTCTGTGTGTGTTTGTTCAAGAACTCCTCAATAGCAAGGACTAGGATGCCTAAATTGGGTGTGCAGCTTCCTCTTATCCTAACATAAAGCAAGGTAAGGGAGAAAGGAGGAGATTCTGAAACAAACTGAAAAATTAAACAATAATAAATCACCAGGACCATATTGCATTCACCCAAGAATTCTGAAGGAACTCAAATGTGAAATTGCAGAACTCCGAACTTTGGTATGTAACCTGTCATTTAAATCAACCTCTATACCAGATAAATGGAGGATAGCTATTGTAACACCCATTTTTAAAAATGGCTTCACAGGTGATCCCGGTACTTATAGGCTGGAAAATCCAACTTCAATACTAGGCAAACTGGTTGAAACTATAGTAAAGAATGGAATTACCAGACACATAAATGAACACATCTACTAGAATTCTTTGAGAGGGAAAACAAGCATGTGGACAAGGAGGAATCTATGGGCTACAGTGCATTTAGATTCAGAAATCATTTGACCAGGCTCTTAAGCAAACTAAGCAGTCAAGGGATAAGAGGGAAGATCCTCTCCTGGATCAGTAACAGGTAAAAAGATAGGAAACAAAGTGTAGGATTGGATAGTCCGCTTTCAGAATGGAGAGAGGTAACTAGCAGTGTTCCTCCAAGAGGCCTGTATTGCAGTGTTTCCCAAATGGTGTTCCGCGAAACCCCGGGGTTCTGAGAAGTGAAAATAAGGATTCCGCGAAAAAATTCATTTTATGATTTAAAAAAATTAATTACTGTTATGTGATTTTTGCTTTTAAATATGTGCAATTAAACTAAATGTTGATCTCATGGTCTTGTTTAACATTTGTTTCTTATTATCCTTACTTATTTGTGGTCTGCTTTTTCAGCTCCATATATTAGACCAAGGGTGGCCAACCCGTTCCAGACGAAGAGCCACAATAGCAGCAGAGACAGCGTGAAGAGCTGGGGCAAAGCTGTTGAGCAAAAAACCAACCAGCCAAGAAAAACGCCATGCGGGGGGGGGATAGGTGCTGGCACGCTGTCCCTTGGCTGCTTTTTTTGTTTGTTTGTTTTTTGTTAACAACTTTTCCCTGGGTCTTCGTGGCCCTGCCTTTTTTTTTTTTTTTTTGGCTCAACAGTTTTGCCCTGGCTCTTCAGGCTGTCTCCACTGCTATTGTGGCTCACAAAAAAAACACTGGGAAGGGGTGAGGTGTGCAAGCTCTGGGAGGGAATTTGGGTGCAGGAGGAAGAGGATTCTGGCTCAGGGAGGGGGCTCCAGGCTGGGGAGTGTTGGGGTCAGATGGAGGGTTGGGGTGCTGAGCAAGCCACAGGAGTTTGGGCTGGGTTGTATGAGGGGCTCAGGGCAGGGAGGCTGGGAGTATGATGGGCTCAGGACACAGATTTGCAGTGTATGGATGGTGCAGGAGTGTTATGGCAGAAGACTGGGGTGTGGGGGGGCAGGAGTTTGGGGATGTGGGAGGAAGGACAGGGGGTCCACACCAGACAGCCCCTCCGCACACTTCCCCTGTAATCAGTTAACAAGTTTATCACCACATTTAAATAAGTTAACCAATTATATGGGATTTTACATCCCTATCTGGGCATATCAAAACAGGTGATTCCCTGTGTCTGGAACTGTCCCAGAATTTGGGACCATCCATGAACATATAAAGCTGCAGCAGCCATGGAAAGGTGCTTTTCACCTGGTCCCAAGCTGCTGGAGTGAGAGAGGGCTGGGGCAGTCCTCTCTCCCTAGGGCAGACTGTATATCCCCAGCTGCACCCTAGAGCAAGCATTTAAAGGAAGCATGTATGTTTTCATTTTAATTAAAAAAAAAAAACCTTTTGAATTAAGGACCTGAGCAACACCAAGTAAATCTTGTCTGTGCTGGTGGGGGCAGCGGACAGGGTGCTGGGGCAGGGTACTCGTGGGGGGAGACGTGGCCAGGGGAAAGGGACAGAGACCGCTGGGATTAGTACCTGGTGATCCCAGGTCTCAGGAAGCACGCAGGCTACTCTTCCCCTCCCCTAAATAGCTGATGCGCTTCCTGAAATGCCTGGTCTGTCACTCCACCACGGACTTCCTTCCCTCCCCGATGCCTGCCTGCACAGGGTGTGTGTGTGTGTAGGAGTCCCAGGACTGCATGCCAGCTCCAACTTCTCAGGAAGTGCATGCTCTTCCTCTGCTCCCCATGACAGACGTGTGCTTTCTGAGAAGTTGGAGCTGGCATGCAGTCCCAGGATTCCTACTCCCTCCCTCTTTTCCCCCCTGTGCAGGCAGGAAGCAGGGGGGAAAAGTCCCCAGTGATGCAACAGACACACACACGCACACCCAATACAATCCCCCTTCCCCCACTCTAACCTAATTCTCGGGTCCTGGAGCCACTGCTACAGCCACGCGTCTCCCTCCAGGCATTGGGGCACATGCGCTGAGCAGCCGACTTTGCGCATGAGCTGGCCAGGACGCCGTGTGCAACACAATCCCCCTTCCCTTCCCTTTTCTTCTCCTTCTCTTCCCCAGAGCCAGACACCTCCCCTTCCTGCTGTAACCCAATTCCCTCTCCTCCAACTTTATGCTTGGGTCCCGGAGCCAGAGCCACTGCGCCACATCCAGGATGCCATGCACACTGCTTGCCCCCTCCTCTCCTTCTCCAGAGGCAGGCATCTCTCCACCCAACTTTATGCCCGGGTCCCAAAGCCACTGCCTGTGCTCAGCAGCTGGCTGCTAGCACGTGAAGGCTGGAACGCTGTGTGTGACCCAGCCTGCATGTGCAGGATATGACATAGTGCACTGGGGGCCGTGAGCGGAACGGCGCAGGCCATGAGCACGCATGCGGCTCACAACGGCCCAGCTGTGAGAGCGGCTGACCTGAGCAGTTCCAGGTTCCATCCCAGTTCCATCAGAAGCCACATTTTTTTTCTTTGCGAGCCGCATGCGGCTCAACAACTTCAGACTGGCCACTCCTGGTCTATACTATGAGCTTTCCACAAGAGGCAAGGCAAATGAAGCACAAATTAGCATGTTCTCTTGCTTCATTTGTCTACTTTCATTCCATTTTTGCGCTAGAGGTTTTTGCGCAAAAATAGGCAGTGTGGCCGTGGCCATTTTGCACAAAAACTGTTCCGGAAATGCTAATCTGCAACCCCACTCTAACCCAATTCCCCCTCCCCCCACTCTAACCTAATTCTTGGGTCCCAGAGCTGCCACTACAGCCACACGTCTCCCTCCAGGCACTGGGGCACATGTGCTGAGCAGCCGGCTTTGAGCATGAGCTGGCCAGGACACTGTCCGCAACCCAATCCCCCTTCCCTTCCTTTCTTCAGAGCCAGACACCTCCCCACCCTGCTGTAACCCAATCCCCCTCCCCCCCAACCTTATGCTGGGGTCCCGGAGCCAGAGCCGCTGCGCAGCATCCGGGACGCCATGTGCACTGCCCCGCCTGCACCCATTCTCCAGAGCCAGGCATCTTCTGCCCCCCCAACCTTATGTCTGGGTCCCGAAGCCGCTGCCTGTGCTCAGCGGCCAGCTGCTAGCATGTGCACGCTGGGACCCTGTGCGAGACCCGGCCTGCACGTGCAGGATATGACGCAGTGCGCTGGGGGCCATGAGCGGAACGGCACGGACTCTGAGCACGCATGCAGCTCACAGCGACCCAACCGTGAGACCGGCTGACCTGAGCAGTTCCGGGTTCCGTCCCGGTTCCATCAGGAGCCAGAATTTTGCGGCTCGTGAGCCTCGGGTTGACCACCCCTGTATTAGACTGTTATTAGGCATTCCGCAAAAATTCTTTCGAGTTTAAAAGGGTTCCATGACCAAATACAATTGGGAAACACTGCTGTATTGGGACCAATAGTCAACATATTCAGAAATTACCTGGAAAACGGAGTAAACAGTAAGGTCGACAAATCTGCGGATGACACAAAACTGCTCAAGATAGTTAAGTCCAAGCTCTACATCCCGGAGGGCTAGTCCCTACCTCTGAGCCAGAAGGCGAGGCTGGCACCTTAGCTGCAGGGGAGGTGGGGCTGCTGGTTCTTTCCGGCAAGTCGAATGACAGGTCCCTCCTGGTCAAGTCACGTGGCTTCTTCTTTTTCTCAGCATCAAGGTCTCTAGGGTCAGAGCCTGAATGGCTGTCCGTGCGAGTGAGGACTCCGGTCAGGAAGTCAGCTATTTCATCCTACACAGGGGTCAGACATCTCTTACCAACTAGCCTCCATGACTTGCCTACAAGCAGCTTCCATTTACTGCTCTGCTAGTATGCAGGGCACTTAGCTTACTGGGCTAAAGAAATCAATTCTACAGCCAGGGCTCTGCTGGGTTCTACTCCACTCAGACCTTCCCCTGAGGAGTCCCCAGCTAGCCGCTCCGGACGAAGAGAAGCTAGCTAGTGTCACTAGATGCCATGTTAAAGCTTCATCTCCGTGGCTCTCTGGAACACGAGGGGAGTGTGCCACCCTCCATAGCACTAAAGGAAGAACCAGAAACATTTGCTTCTCCAGGCCAGCCAGCTGGAAGAATCCACCTCCTTTATGGCCCATAACATAGGAATAGCCAGCCTAGCAGACAGGGGCTCTTGAAAACTGCTGCTGGGAGATCTCCATGCACATAGTACCGCCCGAGAGGTCAATACACCAAGGCAGCATCAAAGCCATCAGGGTCACAAGTGAAATGAATGGGGACATCATGAGCTATCTCTACAGGCTTCTAGCCTTCCCCAGCTTCCTTCTCCCACCAGCACCGGGCCAGGCCAGGCCTCAGCAGGGTACTGTGTTCCAGAGAAGCTAATGTGTGGCAATGGGGCAGACAGACTAGCACAAGAGTCTGGGCTTGTGCTAAATTGCCACAAAACAAATCCTAGCACAATTTACAGAGAGAGCTGCTCACTGCAGGGTCAGGGTCCTCAGGGCAAGCGCAGCATGGGCCTTAATGTCTCTAACGATGCTGCTCTGCCTTCTGCCCGGGCAGCCGCCACCAGCATGCCTGTGCCCCTCCGCTGGAAGTCGGAACCTGTGACTTGAGCTCCGGTAGTGGCCCCACAGCCAGCACCAGCTACCCCAGGGATGGAGCTGCCCCCCCCCCCCTTACAAAGGCAGCTCAAGCCAGAGGAAAGAATGAGGGACTATGGGAGCAACTCAGGAAATAGCCCTCACGGCCCCCCAAAGGCTGAGATGCCAGGAACAGATTCTCCCTTGAGGACACATGCCAGAGATGCCGACCCGCCACCGCCCAGTCAGTCCCGACAGCAGCACCAGAGCGTGGGCTCATGGTGGCGAATGAGCACTCAGGATACAGAGAGATCTCGCCGCTCATTACCTGGATGCATCTGTCCACCATGCTCTGGGTCAGGCCTTCTGCCTTCTTTTTGGCTTTGCTTATCCTATTGCAAAAGGTGGGCGAGTCAGTACATGTTCATTTACCCCCAGCTCCCTTGCCCTGCTCCCACCACCCTGGGACAGCACTGAAAGCAGAAATCAAAGGACATCGGGTTTGCTCTATGCTGAAACCCAACCAATAGGAAGCCGGAGGCAATCAGCTCCAAGTACTGCATCTGGTGAGCAGGGTGAAATTCAGATGACAGTGACGAGAAAGGGAATGAGACTGGGTAACACCGGGGTGTCCAACACACCAGCCACACGTGGCTATTAGGCCAGTGGAGTGCGGCTAGTTGCCCTGAACAATGTGGCTATTTGGCCAGGTGAGAGTGGCTAGTTCACTAGAGTGGCTATTGCTTCAGAACTGGCTGGACATAACAGGGCTCACGCCTGGAGGGACACACACATATCCGGGAGGCGCAAGACTCAAGTTCATATTCCTGCTCCAATGACTAATGATTTACAAAAATGGAACAGCTTCCACAGGAGACTGAGAAAACCCCACAGCAGCTACCCAATAGCCCAGTGGCTAGGGCGCGTTTTTGCTGTGTAGGAGACACACGTTCAAACCCCTTCTCCACAAGGGGCAGAAGGGGGAATTGAACCTGGACTCCAACACTCCAGGAGGGATAAAGGTTAGATCGATCGATCGTCCCTCAATCTGTGGCTGTGTCTGCACTGGAAAGATGTGGCGATGAAAGTGCTGTCAACATGCAAAAGTCACCAAAACTGAAAACTCGCCAAACCCGTTTCTCTGCCACCCTTTGTGCACATATCACGACCACCCTGTTAGCACCCTTCGACAGAAAATGCAAAGCAATGTGGGTAAGCATCCAAACTGCCTGGCGTCACCTTTAGTCGCTAAGCACTGTGGGAATGAGCCCTAAGCATTTTGGGAACAAGAAAAACATCCTGGCAGCCATCTGCTTCCCAGCCCTCCCTGGGCTTCCAGCTTACTTTTGTGCCACTTGAATGACAGTCCTTGCTGAAAACTCCAGCATCTGCTGTGAGAACTCAGATCCCAGACTCTTCTCCCGTGTCATGTTCAATGTGCTTAGGACATCACATGTTGCAGCAGAGCTACTTGTGCACTTGATAACAGAGGACGAAGACTCGGATGTGGATGACAATGTGGGTGACAGGGACTGAAGCGATGTGGCATTGCATGGGGCTGTCACAGCAAAGAGTCGCTTCTGGGCAAGGGAAACCAGCCCTGAGTGGTGGTATTGCGTTGTCAAGCAGGGGTGGGATGAAGACCAGTGGCGACAGATCTTTCAGATGCATAAAGCAACCTTCCTGGAGCTGTTTGCCAAGCTGGCCCCTGAACTGCGGCGCCGGCATGAGAGCTGCTCTCTTGATCGACACACATGAAGCAATTGCTTTGTGGAAGCTAGTGATTCCCGATTGCTACCAGTCAGTTGCAAATCAGTCAGGGCAATAAATCGCATGCTGCTGCGTAGGACTGTGACTCTGAGAAATGTGGATGACAGAGTGACTGGCTTTACAGAAATGGGCTTTCCAAACTGGTAGGGCAATTGTTGGCACCCATATTCCCATTATGGCCATCCCGCCTTGCCAGGGAACACATCAGTTGGAAGGGGTACTGCTCCATCGTGCTTCAGGTGCTTGTGGATCACCGTGGGTGTTTCACAGACTTAAATGCAGGGTGCTCTGGAAAGGTTCTGGCAACACAGACTGAGGAATGGTTTGGGAGAGAGTTGTACCCCGACAGTAGGGAAATGGCAACCCTGCCATGGAATCTCCATGAGAAAATGAATAAGTACATCAGGCAAAGCTTCGACACCATCTCCCAGCCAGATTCTACGGATCTCTCTGTGCACATCAATATTCTATTTGGACGCAACGCAGACCCAAGCAGGGCTTACCACCTCACAGAAATACAGCCTCTGGTCGCCCTGCACCACTGCCCTCTCTCCTTCCCCTCGCTGCAAGAGTAACTTCCTGCACTGCCACCACCCACCCCACCGCATTACACAGCAACTTACTGCACTGCACCGTCGCTGCTCACCCACCCCCACCCTGCAACCTGTGTGTCTTCTCTTGCTTCAGCCTCCATGTCCAGTTGCTGAGAGTCCTCACAAACATTGGGACTTGAGCACGATTCCTCGCTGCCTGGCACAAAGGTTGTCACTGGACTGAGCCCCACTTCCTTGTCCGCTTCCATCTGTTCCTCAATAATTTCTGTCTCCAGGATAACTCCTGTTTCTCACTCGGTGCTAGGGGAAGTATCCACTGGGCTCATCCAGTTCTTCATAAAAACGGCATGTTGTGGATGCAGCACCAGACTGGCTGTTTGCCTCCTTTGCCTTCTGGTACGCCTGCCTTTATCTTGGTTCTGCACTGTAGGGTGCCTCGCTCAGACCCCTCATCACACAGGGCTCCAGAAATGTGACCACACATGCCCCAATTCCTACAGATCATTCACAGCTGTAACTGCACCAATTCTTCCCCCCACACATCTAGATCCAAAAGCTGTGGGGTGCTCCAAGCAGGAGAGTGTCTTGAGCGATAGCCATCACCTGTTTCCTTGAGTAGACACCACAAGGACCATGACAAAGGTTGCGTCTACATAGCAGCGTTATTTCGGAGTAACGGCTGTTATTCTGAAATAAAATGCAAGCATCTACACAGCAATTCCATTATTTCGAAATAAATTCAAAATAACGGACAGCTTATTCCGACTTCTGCAAACCTCATTCCACGAGGAATAACGCTTATTCAGAAATAGCTATTTCAGAATACCAGTAACGTGGCCGCTCCACTGCTGCTATTTTGAAATAGCTCCTCCCAGGGCCGTTCAAAGTAATTACTCCCAGTGCCTCCTGGGACTCTAAATCGAGGTAGCACGTCCACATTAGGGAAGCCTGCCTTAGACTAATTTTGAGGCTTCCTTGTAGTGTAGATGTGCTATTTCGAAAAAAGCTACTGCAGAGTATTTCTTCCGGAATAGCTTATTTTGCAATATGCGTGCAGTATAGATGTACCCATAATGAGCCAGACATCAGGAAACAGATCATAAAGTTCTTGGGGTTTGCAGAGGGGAGGGGTAGGGATGGAATAGTCTAGTCGATTAACCAATAAGCAAAAACTTATAGGTTAATGCTTTAGACTATACGCATTTCCCCACCCACCCCTTGCCAGTAAATTTTTTAGCAGGCTGGTCAGCAGCCCAGCTCAGTCCCGGCTTGCACTGGGTCCTGGACCTACCCCTGCTGCGGCTCTGCCTTTAAAGTGTATTAGGAGCCAGGCAGCCCAGCTCAGTTCTGGCTCGTGCTGGGTCCAGGAGCTCAGACCTCTCCCCCCTGGACAGGGGCTGCCCAGGGACTATAGAATAGTCGACTAACCGATAAGAATTCATGAGGTTAATCGACTATTCACTTAACCGATATTTAACATCCCTAGGGAAGGGCACACCTGTTTACTTCTTTATGTGGCTGCAGAGCAGCAGAGTTCAAAGCACTGGCCAGAATGGTAATTCAGCATTGTGGGAAACATGCTGACGGTCAATAAACTCGACAGAAACCTTACTGTAGTACACACTGCATGACTGTCAACAGGAAAGGGAGGGGGAAAGACAAAAGTCCTTCGCAGCACTGGAAATGTTTAGTTGACAAAACTGGGTGCTTGCCGCAACCTTTGTCATGTTGTAATGTGAACGCTCTCTGGATTTTGCCACCAAAAAGGGGTTTTTGACAAAACTTGCTACTATAAACAAGGTCTCAGCCTCTAATCCTTCTGTCTTGTATCAAATTGCCTGAAATCAAGATTTTCCTGAGTAGGACTGAAGCAAATCATGCAGTTTTGACATGAACATTTTTCAACGTTTTGATTCAATGAACATCTCCAAACAACAAACTAGTTTTGCTTCCCCCGAAATGTTTTTTTCCAGCGTTTTGCACTTGCCAGCACACCACACACTCCATTATTCACTCAGTGTCAATGTTGAATGTGCCTGGCGCTCCCAGTGGCTTCAACAGGAAATGGCTCTCCAGCTCTGACACACGGTCCCAAAATTTCCTCAAAAGGGCTGTCGGCGCCTTCTCTCTTCTTGCTTCATGTGAAATGCTGCTAGTCACCGTTTTGCATGTCACTCCCCTCCCTAGGTTTTTGATCATTCCTTGTTACATGTAACACCTGTCATAACTGTACCTGCATATTTTGGACATTAGGCCAAAATTCCTCTCTCGCATTCATTTCACAGCAGTGCAGCTCCAGCCATGTCAATGGGGTTACGCAGATTTACATCTGTGTGATTGCAGCAGGTGGCCCATGGCTCCCTGCCAGTCCCACAGCAGCCTCTCCTGCCAAACACCTCCCAGAGGAGTGCCCTTTGGGCACCACGAACAGCCAAAAGCCACCATCAGGAGCAGAGCCAAGAATGATTTGGAAAGGGAAAATCTACAGTAAGGATGTAATAGTGTAGTCAATTAACTGATAAGCAAAAGCTTATAGGTTAATGCGATAGACTACACGCATTTCTACCCCCCGCCCCAGTCCCCGCAGTAAATATTTTAGCAGGCTGGCTAACAGCCCAGCTCAGTCCTGGCTTGCGACAGGTCCAGGACCTCTCTCTGCTGCGGCTCTGCATTTAAAGTGTATTAGGAGTCGGGCAGGCAGACAGCCCGGCTCAGTTCTGGCTCACGCTGGGTCCGGGAGCTCAGATCCACCCCTAAACAAGGGCTGCTACCACCCCGCACTGCTGCCTCTTTATCAGAGGCAGCAGCACGCAGTGGCAGGGGACTCCTTGGGAGTGAGGCGCACTGGTTGCTGGCCCCGCCCCCAGGGACTATAGAATAGTCGACTAACCGGTAAGAATTCATGAGGTTACTCAACTATTCAGTTAACTGATATTTAACAACCCTAGTCTACAGTATTCAGCAATGGGGGGATGTCCCTCACTCGGGGCTTTCAGCTTGTCAGTGGAAAGGAATACTGTAAAGCGGCTGTGGTCCATCACCCCACCCGCACCTACAGCTACTGTGATGAAAGCTCATACTAGAGAAAGACAAGGCCTGGGAGCCCTGGAGAAATGAGTTTGCCATTTGCCATGAACAGACAGCGCCAGGATGGCAGGAACAGCACAAGTTCCCCACACACGCTGCCCAGCCCACGTGCCTCCACTTGGATCTGGAAAAGGACGACTTGTAGCCACCAAGAGAACAGGACAGCCCATGGCCCATCAAGCACTGAACGCCACAAGCTTACCAATGTGTGCAATTGGGAGGCGGACGTGTGATCCCTGGGAGCTGGACCTTGTCTTACCCATGCACTCCACGCAGGGGTTGTGATGGCAGGTTCCTCTCAACCTGGGCCTGATTTAAATTAACTTCCCAGAAATAAAAGGCTTTTTATCCCATTAGCCATCACGACTCCATCTACTTTCAGAACGAAGTCCCAGAACCCTCCTGCCAGGCCCATGGGCCCAACCAGACATTGCTCAAAGCTTCTAAAAGACTCGTGCCATGGAGATGCCATCTATGCCACAGCACCATACCTCAGATTGTCATCCGCTCCTCCCACTACCACCAGGCTGTTATCAGCTCGGATTTTTTCTCGAAAATCTTCCATAGCTTCAGTGTTGCACTGCAAAGAATTCTGACCAACGACAAAGAGAACTGGGGTCTTCATGTCCAGCAGCGGGTCATCCACATCCTGCAGGAGCATTGGACGACAAGACATTTTAAAAGCGAAGGCCAAACCAAATGCAATGCTACATTGCCTAACAGTCTCAAGCCTGCACATTCAGCGTCATGACTTTCCAGGTTACACTCCAAAGGGCATTTTCCCAGTGGAAAAATATGACCCTGACCACGGTTTTGGTACAGATCTGCCTCCTGCATGGAACTCATTATCTTCTATATGGAGGCAACACAGAGCCTGGGCCTACTCTTCTCACATACCCCCCAAACATGAGTGGCACCAGGACCCAAGGTCGCTCTGAGTCAGTCTTACACAGGCCAGCTAACAAAGGAGCACATCAGGCCACCAGAGAAGACTGCCTAAGTTGTTGTTCTTGTTGCTGGGTGCAAAACAAGGTGAGATGAACTGCCGTTTCTGGAGTGGGGCCTACGAGGGGCTCTAGAGGTGTGGTCTGAGGAACACTACACTGCTGTCACACCAAGGATGCAATCAAACCTTTGAGCACCTTCCACACCAGACTACTGCACTGTGATTCACTGCCTAGAGCCCGGATTGTTGGGACCCGGCTCTCCATTACTCCAAACACTAGAGTACGCTAGACTACACGCACATCCCCTCTTGAAAATACTTGAAGTATGAAGAATCAAACTTCTGACCCTTGCTCTTCTGGCTGGAATTCAAAGCAAGTTAACTAGCCAATCCTTTCCTATGAACTCTGAGCCCTGCTTTGAGCTTACCCCTCTGGGACCGTCCACTGTGAGCAGAGGGAATCCAAGGCACACTACTGCGGTGACGTACTCCATCACTGAGACCTGGAGAGACAGCATCATTAGCCAGAGATGTCCCAAAACATACAACTCGGGGTCAATGCAGTTTGCAGAGCTCCTGCTGCCAGGCTCCCTGCATTGCACAGACCTGGCGTCGGCAATGCCTCTTTCTAGGAAAAATCTCAAGCTCTTCATCTGCCTGCGCCCACAGCGATGGCGGCAGCAATACAGGGCCTTAGGGTGGGAAGGGAAGAAGAGGAGCTCTTCAGGGCTGGGACTGACAGCAGGCAGATCACCAGTCAAAGGCAGACTTTCCGTCACACGTAATGCTAGGAACAGATGACTCCAAACGTAAGCTCAGCAAGAAGCTGGGGCACCAGGTGATACAAGGTTTCACTTGGTGCGACGTAGTAAGTTAGCAGCTATGGATGCAGACAAGGCAAATAAACCAAGCAACAAGTAATATCACCCTGAAATTAGATTCCTAGAATACTGCAACTGGAAAAGACCTTGAGAGGTCAAGTCCAGTCCCCTGCCCTCACGGCAGGACCAAGCACCACCATCTAGACCAGTGCTTCTCAACCTTTTTTTTTTATAAAGTACCCCTTTAAAAAAATATATATACATGTACCCACCAGTACCAATATATATGGTTGTGACAATTTTCTTCCACTATTTGATCTGAGGAAGTGGGTCTGGCCCACGAAAGCTCATCACCTAATAAACCATCTTGTTAGTCTTTAAAGTGCTACACAGTCTTGTTTTTTGTTTCCTTATGTAAAGAGGCTGTGTCTTAGTAAATCAGTTACTGCATCTTTATCCCCTCCCTGAGCCAAGGTTCTGTTTGCCCTGGCATTCAAAGAGGGTGACAGTTCTGAGCCCATGAGATACCATCTGAACTGTAAAGGGCAAGACAGCTTGTGATAAAAGGCGGCTTTAAAGACTTAAGGTGAATGGGAGTTTGATTACATTATAAATATTTGTTTATGATTAATTATTGGCAGGATACTTGAAGAGAGAGGTTTTATTAAGATAAAGGAATATATCAAGAAATTAAGTCTAAAAAAATATCATTTTCTCTGATGGCAATTTCCATGTAGATTTTAGAATACTAGTGGAAGGAATTAGAGAAATGCAGGATTATTAAAATAGACACATTTATGTTTCTCAAAAACAATTCCCAAGTACATCACTGAACAGAAATTTTATCAAGTTAGCTATTTTAAACTCTCCTTTGCAACTCAGAATATTGACAGTTTGTTAAGTAACTGTAAAAAGTACCCTTCATATATTCAGAGATGCAGAAGCCAGAAGGGACTTTTGCAATCATTTACTGTGACTCCTGACACAGACCAGAGAAGTTCTCCAAAATATTTGCTGGAACAGCTCTTTCACATAAACATCCAATATTAATTTTAAAGTTGTCGATGAATTGTCCTAATGATTAATTATTCTCACTGTTAAAAATATATGCCTTATTTCCAATCTGAATTGGTCTAGCATTATGTTTCGGCCATTGGATCATTTTATACCTTTCTCTGATAGATATAAGAGCCCATTTTTAAATATTTCTTCCCCATGCAGGTGCTTATAGACTAATGAAGTCATCCTTAAGCATCTCTTTGTTAAGCTAATCTGATCAAGCTCTGTCAGCCCATCATGCTAACTCCAATATTTTTATCATTTTCATGGCTCTTCTCTGATACCCTCTCAGGTTTATCAATATTCTTTTTGAATTATGGGCACCAGAACTAGACCCTGTTCTAGCAGCAGTTGCAAAACTTTCTACTCATATTCAAGATGCCAGCTTATACAGCCCAGGCTCTCAATAGCTCTTATGAATGTCACATCACACTGGGCGTGAATGTTCAATTGAATTTTCATGACCCACAATTTATTTTTCAGAAGCACTGCTTCTGACAAAGGAGGCCCCTATCCTGTATGTTTGGCCTATATTCCTTTTGTTTCCCAAGGTATACATTTACTTTTAGCCAAATGAAAAACACCTATTGTTTTGCCTGCGCCCAATTTACCAAGCAATCTAGATCAGTGTGTCTCAACCTTTTTTTATAAAGTACCCTTTAAAAAAATTATCAGTACCCCCAGTACCTACAGTTTTCAGGCACACACATTTTTTTCTACCATTGCAACACACTTGTTTAAACAACGTTATCATAGCCAGGCGGGCAATGAAATTTTTGGGTGTAAAAAGTACAAAAATAATAAAGCACTGTAAAACTTAACACAATAATTCAGTTTTCTCCAAATTTCAGTTGTGTTGATATACCCCCCGGACTTCTTTCAAGTACCCTTAAGGGTACTCGTACTACTGGTTGAGATACACTGATCTAGAACATCCCTGATAGATGTCTATCCAACCTGCTCTTAAATATTTCCAGAGATGGAGATTCCACAACCTCTGTAGGCAATTTATTCCAGTGTTTAACCACCCTGACAGTTAGGAAGTTTTTCCCAATGTCCAACCTAAACCTCCCTTGCTACAGTGTAAGCCCGCTGCTTCTTGTCCTGTCCTCAGAGACCAAGGAGAACAATTTTTCTCCCTCCTCCTTGTGACACCCTTTTAGATACTTGAAAACTGCTAGCATGTCCCATCTCAGTCTTCTAATTTCTAAACTAAAAAAGCCCAAATCTTTCAGTTTTCCCTCATAGCTGGTGTTCTCTAGACCTTTAATCATTCTTGTTGCTCTTCTCTGGATCCTCTCCAATTTTTCCACATATTTCTTGAAATGTGGTGCCCAGAACTGGACACAATACTGCAATTGAGGCATAATGAGCGTAGGGTAGAGTGGAAGAATGACTTATGTCTTGCTCACAACACTCCGGTTAATGCATTCCAGAATCATGTTTGCTTTTTTGCAACAGCATCACTGTTGACTCATACTTAGCTTGTGGTCCACTCTGAGCCTTAGATCCCTTTCTGCCGTACTCCTTCCTAGACAGTCGCTTCCCATTCTGTATGTGTGAAACTGATTGTTCCTTCCTAAGTGGAGCACTTTGTATTTGTCCTTATTAAACTTCATCCTATTTACCTCTGTCAATTTCTCCAGTTTGTCCAGATCATTTTGAATTATGACCCTATCCTCCAAAGCAGTTGCAACCCCTCCCAGATACAAATCATCTGCAAACTTAATAAGCATACTCTCTATGCCAACATCTAAATCATTGATGAAAATACTGAACAGAACCGGTCCCAAAACAGACCCCTCTGGAACCCCACTTTGTTATGCCAGCAGGATTGTGAACCATTAATAACTACTCTCCAAGAATGGTTATGCAGCCACTTATATACCCATCTTATAGTAGCCCCATCTAAGTTGTATTTGTCTAGTTTATTGACAATAAAATCATGCAAGACAGTATCAAACGCCTTACTAAAGTCTAGGTATACCACATCCACCGCTTCTCCCTTATCCACAAGACTTGTTTTCCTATCAATGAAAGCTATCAGATTGGTTTGACATGATTTGTTCTTTACAAATCCATGCTGGGTGTTACCTATCACCTTATTATCTTCCAGATGTTTGCAGATAGATTCCTTAATTATATGCTCTACTATCTTTTCTGGCACAGAAGTTAAATTGACTGGTCTGTAGTTTCCTGGGTTGTTCTTATTTCCCTTTTTATAGATGGGCACTAGATTTGCTCTTTTCCAGTCTTCTGGAATCTCTCCTGTCTTCCATGTTTTTTCAAAGATGATAGCTAGAGGCTCAGATACCTCCTCTATCAGCTCCTGGAGTATTCTAGAATGCATTTCATCAGATCCTGGTGACATGCAGACATCTAACTTTTCTATGTAATTTTTAACTTGTTCTTTTTTTATTTTGTCTTCTAAACCTGCTTCATTCCCACTAGTATTCACTACGTCAGGCATCCCGTCACCATCAATCTTGGTGAAAACTGAAATAAAGAAGTCGTTAAGCACCTCTGCCATTTCGAAGTTTCCTGTTATTGTTTCTGCCTCTTCACTGAGCAGTGGGCCTACCAGGTCCTTGGTCTTTCCCTTGCTTCTAATATATTTAAAGAATGTCTTCTTGTTACCCTTTGGCTACGTCTAGACTACAAGCCTCTTTTGAAAGAAAGCATCTAGACTGCAACCACTTCTTTCAAAAAAGTGAGCCGCTTTTTCGAAAGAGCACCCAGGCAGTCTGGATGCTCTCTTTCGAAAAAGCTTTGTTTGCATTCAAGAACGCCTTTTTTCGAAAGATCACTTTAAAAAAAAGGCGTTTTTCCTCGCAAAATGAGGTTTACCATGGTCGAAAAAACTGCCACATTCTTTCAATTTAATTTCAAAAGTACACAGTGGCAGTCTAGATGCAGGGGAAGTTTTTTCAAAAAAATGCCACTTTTTTCGGAAAAACCCTGTAGTTTAGACACACCCTCTATGTCTCTAGCTAGTCTGAGCTCGTTTTGTGCCTTTGCCTTTCTAATCTTGCCTCTGATCGGCCACACAAGTGCCTTTGATCTGGTAATAAAAGATCCAGGGACTAGCAGGGTTCCTTGCTGTTTGATCCTTGCCTTGGGTATGCCTTAGGGCAGCTCTCTTCAATTACCACCTGTAGACCAAGCACCAGGAGGGCATTTGGAAATAAGCCAATCCAGGTGACTCTTATCAAGAGGTACAGCGTAAAGTGGCCTCAGCTAGGGTGCAAGACACAAAGGTACTTACGTGACAGGCCACCAAGGATCCTGTGTTCCACCCAATCAGGATGATGGGCTTGTGGGAGAAATGATTGTGGATCTGGCCAAGAAAGAAGGAGGAGTGAGAGGAACGAACAGTGCTGGGCAAGCACAGGGCAGGTAATGGGCATTAAAGGCAGACACGACATGCCCATCTCAGACGCCCTCACACTTACCTCCAGCACTTTGCCTCTGACTGCACCAATCATGTGTTCAAGACACTGCAACACTCCCACCCCGGAGCCATTATTCAGCAGGTGGGTGGCAACAGGGATCACCTGTAACACAAGCCACATGAATTGTAGGAGTGCCACTGTGGAGCAGTATGTATCGCGGATAGGGATGCACCAACTGGGGCAAAAATACACAGTCAGGACTCGGGGCTTTCCTGCTATTCCCCTACCAATCGCCCCAGTTCTCCTGGCTTCCGTCCAACAGAGCTGATGGAGCCATTTCATTGGAGCAGCACTTCACCCAGGCAGAAGACAAGCTACCAGACACCAAATACGCCCTTTCCCGACCTGTTCCTACTGGAGAATCCCTGCCTCATACTCTTCAATCCACTCCACTGGACAATTCCTCTGGTCCCTTCTAAGCTGCAGCTGCAGAATTCTGAGCTAGGACACAACGTCTCCTAATCAAGCCCACGGCAACACTGGCAGGGACAACTCCTCCTGGAGGACCAAGCAGTACGGGCCTGAGCGAAGCTGCTCAAGGAGAGGGCCTCTCTGCTGAAGCCATCAGCACCATGAAGCATTGTTGGGCGTTTGCCAGCAGCTGCAGGGGCCCAGAAGCCAGGTGAACAGCAGTCACACTGCCCTAGAAAGGCTACTGGTATGAACATCCACTCATCCCTTCCAAGACATGCAGAGTTACTAACCTTTCCCAGGCAGGAGAGCTGTGACTGCCAGAACCGGTGACGGCGCGAGGTGGGGAACATAGAACTGGAGGGTCCAGAGGATGCAATCAGGATGAGCGGAGAACCAGGCAACTTGCCCTACAAAATTTGCCACAACAGAAAGATAAGGGAAGCAGCTTCCTTTCCCTCAGGCATGCCCCTCCCCAGTTTCCTTGGCAGGACAGGACAGGGTAGGAAAACCACCAACAAATGCACCAGTCGCTGCCCCCGCCCAACCCTCCCCCAGCTGTGCCGAGCACAGAGGAGCAAGCGAAAAGCTGTGTGCAAGGTAAGAGTGACGGTCACTTAAACACACAACCAGTACTGCCACCAGCCAAAACATGCCCTCGAGCACTCTCTGCCCTAGGTGCAGAGGGCATGAGATGGCCAGCAGGAGGTCAGAGCACCTGTGCTGCACTGAGAGCAAGCCTTACTAGCTAACCGAGCTATGGGTGACGGACAAAAGGACAAGCCTAGCCCAGGTCTCCTAGAACAGGGACTAAACACCTCCCCAGGGCACAGGCTAAAAGGAAAGCTAGAGACCCTGCCTTGCTCATCCTGGAAGCAGGTGTCATGGAAGACGTGGTCTTGCACGGTGCTGCATTCTAGCACAACACTCTCATCTGTGGAGTCTGACAGTCCCTGCTCACAGGGCGAGTCACACAACACACACCTAGCAGGGAAGGGCAGTGCCAGATAAGGAAGGCTGCAGAGAGAGAAAAGGCAGTGTGGAGACACTGGCTCTGAAGGAGGAGAAAGAGGGCTCTCTGAAGATAGGAAGTACTGGGGGTAGGGACACCATGACAGAGATCATGATGCTGGATGTGCCAGAGGGAATGGGATGGAGAAGTGGAGAGGACTGGGGAGAGCAAGTAGACTGGGGCACCAACCAGACACTGAGCTGAGCTCCTCACCCTGCACACTCAGGGATGTACTCACGGGTTTATTATGTGACAAGACACCCACAGCTGGGTCCCACGGTCTCTTCAAGAGGAGGGAGAGCGCCTCGGCCCCTGCTGCCCCTGTCTTTGTGGTGGACGAGAGCAGCATCCTGTCAATCAGGGTGGGGATCTGAAACCAAAGGCCAGACCATGGCTGAATAAACTTATTAACTACATGCCCGATATCCAATGGGATCTTCCTTCAGAACTGATTTCACTGTCTACAGCAGAACATGGAAAATTCTGCTAGCTTCTCCCCGGCAAAGGGAGAATGCCCACTTGGCCCTCCCCTTCCTCCCCCAGTGGTACAAGCAAGGGGCTGTGGAGGAGATGGCCACCAGCAATTCCAGTTCCTTTTGTCAGCAGAGACTCACTCCTCAGACACTGATGAGCACCAAGTGTCAACCCAACACAAGGAGAGTCTATGTGCGGCGTCTGCACATGCTTTTGTCTCAACATGCAACTGCCATCTCTGGACAGCTCCACTGGCTTCTCCTTATCCAGTTACACACAGAGCTTAAAACCCAGCATGCATTTCTCCAGCCTCATGAACAGACAGTGGTGCCTGCTCCGTCCAGTCAACTGGCACTGCACTTTGCTTTAATCCCATGACATCATCTCATTGTAACTGACACAAAAGCCTTTTCCTTTGCGCCGCCTGCTGTCCGGCGGACCCCTTCCCTCTACTCCACTGATCCTCCATTTTAGCTAGAGCAGTCAATTAACCACAGTTAACCCAAGCAAATAACACAAAACAAAATAATTAGATTAAAAAAAACAGTCATGATTAATTGCAGTTTTAATTGCCCTGAAACAATACCAATTTAAATTTATTATAAATGTTATGGGTGCTTTTCTATATTTTTAAATGTATTGATTTCAATTACAACACAGAATGCAGAGTGCTTGCTTTATATCAGTTTTGATTTAAAATATATGCAAAGATGAAAGAAAGACTAGTTTTCATTTCACATCATACACTATCATAAAAGTGAAACTTCCACATGTAGACTTTTTTGTTATATAACTGCACTCAAAAACAAAACAATGTAAAACATTAGAGCCTATAAGTCCACTCAGTTCTACTTCTTGTTCTGCCAGTCGCTAAGCCAAACAAGTCTGTTTACAGCTACGAGAGCTAATGCTCCCAACTTCTTTTTTACAATATCACCTGAAAGTGAGACCAGGGGTTGGCATGGCACTGCTGTAGGTATTTATGTGGGTGCGGTAGGTACCACTACAAGGTACTGGCGTGCCAGAGATTCATTCACATTTTTTATTAGTGCAAATATTTGTAACTAGAAATAATAATCAGGGCTCTCAATTAGCTACAGTTAACACATACAATTAACTTACAACAATTCATGGGGTTTTTTTAAAATGTTAATTGCACACCAAGGCGCCACCCCTGGGGTGCTGACGCATGCGTCCAGTGCAGGGGTGCTTCTCCTCTTCCCACCACCCTCCTCCACTGCTGCTCCCATTGCTTCCTCCCATCCATGGAGCTGCCCCTGGCCAAGATGCTCCAGACCAGGAACTTGCCTCCTGTCTGCTGCACAGAGCAGGGGTGGGGGCAGCAGGGGGGCTAATGTCTGGGTGCTCCCTTCCTTCCACATGTGCCCAGACACTGCTGATCTGGGGCTGGAAACAGAGGGAGCCTGTCTGCTTCTGCTGGCTGAAAAAGCATTCAGGCTCCGGAGTGCTCTGCTTAAAGAGACAGCGCTCCCCCCAACACCAAATATATAAAGAAGTGACAGTCTATTATTGCTTAACAGTGGAAAACAAACCGCGATTAATGGCAATAATTTTTTGGATTGTTCAACAGCCATAACTTTAGACATTTACAGCAGAGAGATCAGCTCTCTCAGACCTGCTCATTCTTCTGCACCTCTAATATTTATTGTAGGGAAGTCAGTTTGTATGATGAGTGGCTATGCAAAATTACATTTTCTGTTGTTATTTTCCTCTTCATTGAGGAATGGACCTACCCTGTCCTTGGTCTTCTATCATCATCCCCACCTCACTCTGATACAAACTATAGATCTCAAGCCCTTTCCAAAGTAGCTCAGTATCATTAGTCCCATTTTATTTATGGGGAAACTGAGTCACAGATGGATGATGTGACTTGCCCAAGGCTATCCAGCAGACCCGTGGCAGAGTAAGGAAAACAGACCAGGCTCCCAGTGCAGCACTTCCTAAGAGCCCTCTATTTCTCTGAATCACTTTAATAAAAGTTTAGAAACTAATATGTTGCCCATCTATAACAACTCTCATCCCAGGAGCTCTGTGAGCTTTACAAACCTAATTGTTCGTAAATTGCTTACAACCTCCATGTAAATTATTAGTCCTCTTTTACAAATCTACCTAAGATAACAGGGTGCCCTACATGCTATGCTGTACCCCTCCCAACCCCTGCTGTGGCAGGGAAAAACTGTTATCCCTGCACATAGGGGAACTAAGGCACACAGAAGTTAAGGAATTTTCCCAGGGTTGTACAGAAGCCTATCAAGAAAGTGAGGAAAGGAGAGGACGCTAGCCTGATACTTGAGAGCCTGGGTTAGTTAACCCAGGCTCTCAAGTACCAGGCTAGCGACCTCTCCTTTCCTCACTTTCTTGATAGGGCAACAAGGCCAAGAGAGGCTAAGTGACTTGCTGAAGGTCATGCAATGATACAGCAGTACAGCCAGAGAAAAACTAGGAGTCTCCCCTCCTTACCCTGTGCACAAGGCTCAAATTCCCCAAGCTGGTCC